GGATGTGCCGCACGAACCCTTGATGCGGACGTCGCAGTCAACCAAGTCGACTACATGTTGTGAGACTGGGCTCTCGCCGCTTACCATGTGTCCCGAAGCGGCGGTGTCGATGAACACCCTCGTATTCTCGGCGGGCGCTGTCTTGTCCACTGCACGAAAAACGTTGGTGTACGCGACCAGCTCCTCATGCTGTATCGCGGCAGGCGGGTCCTTTTCCTTCTCGTAGGAGGCAGCAGGCTCCTCGGTTTCCTTTGCTGTGGCAGGCGCAATCGGCACCTGCAATGGGACAGCACGTTCCAACAATGGTAGCGAAGCTGTGGCAGGCGCAGCCAACACCTGCCCTACATTGACATCGGACGCCTCCTCAGGGGTCGATGCAGCAGGCGCAAACGGCACCTGCTCTGGATCGCCTATGGCGATATCGAACGATTCCAGCGTGAGGTCGACCTCGCGCGCGTGCGTGAGCCACGCCTGTGTCGTGGCTTCCGCGGTCGTGTTGACCTGCTGCTGCTGCTGCGGTTGCTGTTGTTCACGGTTCGAAAACCGCGTGGCATTGGAGGCGCGAAGCGGGCAGTTCGTCCAGGTGTGTTCCGTAGAATTGTGACAGTAACTGCATAAGCCGTCCCTGTCGTACCCGTGTCTTTGCTGTGAGTGGTTTGGCCGTCCAGAGGACCGGTTGTCGGAAGACGCACCACCAGCTCCGTTGCCAGAAGTTGCGCCGCCATGGTTCTGGTCGTTGCTGTTGTTCCCCCTCGACGACCCGTTGTTACGGTTCGACGAGTTGTTCCAGCTGCCACGTCCGCGTCCACCGCGCTGCGCGCGTCCACGACCATGATGACCGCCGCCCTTACGGAAAGAACGCGCTCCGCCGTGTGTGACGGTATTCAGCGCACGGCTGCTGCTTCCGGACGTGTTCTTCGAGGCAACTTTACCACGAATGTGCATCGCGTGGAACGAAGTGGCTCGGTCGGCGACCTCCTCGAAGGACAAGACGCTCCCAGCAGCCTGGCCGCACAGCAGTCCTGTCTTGAACTCTTTGTAGTGGTCGTCCGGCAGTGTTTTCAGGAAAGCGAACGTCTTGCGGTGGTCAGCCACCGTGTCGTTATACACGGCTAGCTCCGTGCAGATCCGGCGCATGTCTTGAATAACTTTGGCCGGATCAAAGTCGTGGTCCGCAGTAACTGCCAAAGATATGAACTTCTCGTGCAGCTCCTCCTGCGTACGGTATACCCCAGCGGCCTGGTACTTTCGTTCTAGGGCGAGGAATGCTCCACGACCGTCTCCGTTGTAGGAAGACCCGATAGGCGCGTATGCCTGCACAGTCTGCGAGGCCGCGCTCTGGTAGCCCCCGGTTTCAGATGTGGCGAGCATCAGCCGGGTAAAGACCTGTCCGTTTTTGTCCTGGTATCCTTCCAGGGCAGTTTGGTATGCCAAAGTCTGGTTTGGCGTAGCGCTTGGTCCAGGATCCGTAGGGGCTTTCTCCACTCCCAACAGAACCTTGTGCAGCTTGTCCTCCATGAATAAGGAGGTCTGCAGAGTTCGCCAGCCAACGTAGTCGCCTGGGTCGCCACTGAACTTGGCGAATCCTCTTCGGATCTCGCCTGACGAGCCGGTAGCCATGCTTACCGACGCTTGTGACTCTGGTGTGCTAGCTCGAGCAACTCGAGGCTCATAAACCTGTTGAGGCAACAGCACTGTCACTGCAGTTGCTGTACAGCTATTCCTTCAGCTGAGGCTACAAAGTAGCTGGCATGTGATGCGAGGTTAGGTAGGCAAACACACAGAGTGATATTATTATCCACACAGACGCCCAAGCTGTCTTCACCTGACGGTTACAGACTTGGCAACGCCTTCACAATACCGCATAAACCCATGCAGTAGAATAGAGTCGTTCTTGTACCGCAATTACTCCAACACACTCACTCTCGTCCCTTTGGCCCACCGCAGGCTGTCAGACATGTGTAACGGACGGCGGTATCCGATGTGGGCTCTCAGCAACACAACCAAAGAACACTGCGGACTTTCATCTCCTGTGACGAAGTGATAACAAAAAAGAACATGACCACTGCTGTACACGGACGAACTATTATATTACAGTAGTATCAAGTCCGTCCGCGATAGATGTGCACCGCTGCACGAAGGAGGGAACTGTCCGTTGCCACACACCTCACTTTTGTAAATAAGATTGTGCTGCCATCTACCTTATGGCTCAAGTTACGACTGACTACGCAGTGACTGCAAAAAGGTAACACGCTTATACGATATGTATTCCACACCACATGCATATATATGCCGCTTACACTGCTGTGCGATGCATACCACCCATGCATATGCAGCAACAGAAAAAAAGGCCTGCTGTTGTCTGTCTCTTCAACGGTTGCGCTGCTGTTGCAACAGGCGAAAAGTAAGTGACGCGCATCGCCTACTACGCGAGCAACGCCTACGCGAGCAACGCGTGCAGCCCAAAGCGACAAAGACTGAAGCAATTCAGCAACAGCTGCATGGTCACTCACGAAGAAAATCACAAAAAAAAAAAAATTGTGGCGCGCAGCACGCAGGACCCTCTTTCGCTGTTCAACCGGCCGTTCCCATGGCGACACAGGCAAGGAACAGTCCAGGCCGAGTCGTGTCGGCCACAGCAGGTGGAAGCTGCTGAAACTCCAGAAGGGGTAGTGGTTTGCGATTGCCGACCGAACCATACTTCGGGCGCCCCGAGATTTACACTGTAGCTCGAGATCGGCATCTGAGACAGGGTCGGGCAAGGGGTGGGCTATGCGAATAAAAGTTCCACCCACCCACCCAAAAACCCACGGATATTGAAATATGAGAATAGTGTATGTGTGAGAGTGTTATTGATGGGTTTACTTCTTTTTTTTATTATTATATGTTCACTTTTTTTTTTTTATCAGGTTTTGCTTTCGCGGAAAATTTTCTGTCCTCGCCCTCGCCGTAAATAAATGTTCCCGGGAAAGAGCTAAAAGGGCACATGTGTGTGTGGGGTCTACCGACGAGCATGCATTGTGCAGCAGCATCATCATTAGTGGAAGCAAAGGCGCGCTGCATGACTGCTGCGTTTGCAGTATGACGATTAACCGGTTCGTGCCATAGCTCCTCCAACAACAGCCAGTCAGTGCAAGTCTTGATAATATCGTCTCAGCTAGACAGCACTATGGGTACTTCTCGGAGGTTCGCAATGAGATCGGGGGTAGGTGTGTACTACGTGCTACTAATACTGTAGACTGTCTATGCGAATAAGAATTACGTAGACTACACGGAAAGAAACTGTTACTTACTGTTACTTGCACGTGGGTCCATGATATCTTTCTCTCGGGTCCGAACGTCCAAACCACACGTGGTCGTCGTCTCCACAACGCCCCCCCCATCTTTCGGTGACGGGACAGGTGCGGTACTCTGTCTCATACGTAACACGAGAGACAGATACACAGAGAGCGAGAGAGAGACAGAGAGGTCAACGGCACTCACCGCCCAACGATGTTCGCCCAAAAGAAGAAATTATCATTTCAGCAGTCTCATCGTGTACGTACATAGACAACGACAGAGAACTGCTGAAGACTACCCATCACGCAGCCGCCGGCTTGCCAACATAGCCAATACACTGTTTCTGCTCCGCCAGCTTAATATCGGCAAACGAAGACCAACGAAGCAACAAAGAAAACTAAAGAGTGCCGCACCCGGCCAACCCGAAGATGACAGACCGAGTGACGACACAAATTTTACAACCAACCGCTGGATGGGTAGACAGAACACGCCACCACTATATTAGGATCTTAAGAACTTGAGCCTGAAAAACTCGAAAATCTGAGAACTTGGCCGTAAGAGCGGGTGCTCAGTCAAGAAGCCTACACTAAAACCATATAATAGTCGCCCTGGGGGTACCCCGTAGACAACAGAAAAAAAAACGAGCCTCGCCCACAAAGTGTGAGGGAAAAGCTCTCAAACAAAAGAAAACTGAACTGTAGATAGAGAATCTGTCTCCCGTAGCAGCCGTAGACTATGTACCATAAGCCTTCTACAACATCTCCTTGACATGAGACTTCCTTCAATGGAATCTATCCCACAGCAGTACCCAAAAGTGAGTTCAAGCACACCTCGCCACGCGCAATCAACAACGCTTTACCCTGAGGCCATCCCCCGTAACGGTCTTGACAGACGACGATGACATGGAACGGTAACTAACGCAAGATACACGACATGAAGTTCGAACGGTATACATACGGCCAACCAAAATAGGACAACAATACTCTCTGGGGGTTAGCATTAAAAAACGCCAGATTTCACCCGGTAGGCTGTCGAACGCACAGAGTTACCACAATTTCAACACTGACACATGAAAGTATTCTTCAACCGGTAAAAGACGAAAAAAAAGCGCAAGAAGGACACCCGTCAACATTTTACAAACTTCGAACACTAAAAGCACCACAACAACCGAGAGGGGTGGATCCGTACGGTGAGGTGGCGAAACCTGACACCAGTAGATATAATATCCACAAAAAAAATGTACGTATGTATATAGACTATGCATACGTCACGCGAAAATACGACCCAGCAACAGCAGCAGCATCTAACAAAAACAAATTTTTACCTTCACGCGAAAACACGACCAAAAATCCCACCCTCACGAAAACGCCGTCACACGAAGGCCACCAGGGAAACAGGTACGGTAACCCAAAAAGCTCAGCGCCGAGACACCCCGCGCACCATTGCCCACATGTTTACTATCCTTATCCATTGAAACCTTCAATATGTTCGTTCCACACACAAACCAGTAACTCAACACGGCAGATTGAAGCAGACCACTCGGCCCTACACCTAGTCTGACCACCATGCCCCGTAACGCGCGCAACGGTACGGCTTCAACTTCTATCTCACCGTTCAGGGCTTACGGCTGACCCTTGGGGCTCAGGGGCTAAGGAGCATTCCTCGGTTCCTCGTGAACATAGTTCTTACGCATACGAGGGGGGCGGCACGTATTCATGCACTACCGAATGAGAGAGAAACACGAAGGTGGTCTTGGCGACCGAACAGAGCAAGCAAACTACCTACTGCATCAAGAACACACACACAAAAAACAGTATTCTTGATTCGACAGTCCCGTTGACAAAGCTACACACAAGCGCAGGGAAAATCACAACGGAAGGAGGTACTTTGAAGGTGCCGTTGTGGCCTACTGAACAGAGCAAGACGTGCAATTGTATATCTTTCCACAGCACCACAACAAATCATCTACCCTTTTTTTTGCCCGCATGCACGACAATACGCGATTCGATAGCAGTCCCATGGACAAAAGGCTCTCTACACAAGAACAGCAAAATTCACGACGGAACGAAAGGAGGTCGTACCTGTTGAACAGAGCAAGACCCACCCCATAACAACAAAAAAAAGAAAGCCGTCCCCCTACCCACGGAACGCCAGACACAAGAACGACCCGAACAACACGTTAGTTGTTGGAGGAGTGGCAACAGTTTCCATTATTTCACTTCGAGCGGAATTTTCACATAAAGTGAGACCCGTCTCCTCGTGTGTGTAGATCTCCCCCTTGCCGCTGTGCCGTCGACGTCACGTTTTGCTGTTACGGCACGTCTCTGTTGTGGTTGTTCGCCGCAGTGCCGCTGCCGGAGGAATCGCCTGTCATCGCCGTTTCCAAGTCCGACGGCCCTTCTTTCGAGGAAGAGGGCCACGTGCAGAGCTCGAGGGAGCACGCCTTCCAACAGCTAGTGAAACCCAGAGGGAGGGCAATCTGAAGATAAAACATACGGTTACACGAAGAGGTTGGGTCAGCCGTAAGCACGCCTTCCTCCGCTGGTAAGAGCCACAGGCAGGTCGTCAGGTGGACACGCAAGGGAGCAGAGCACAAACTCTTGTTATCTGTCGCTTGGGGTGGGGAGTTGATACTGAGGCAAAACGGATCAGTCTGGCGTCGCTTCGGGTGGGGGAGTCGGACGGTTTGGGGTACTGCATGTATTAGGAGTGCTACGTGCATGTTCCGCCGTACAGGCGATGAAGTTCCATCTGTATGTTCATTTCCTGAAGCGACACAGTGGCAGAAGGCTGTTCCTATAGAACACCAGCTGTGCGGCAAACTACAGGAGGTTTCCACGTCTCGACATCAACACGAAAACATTCCGTGTGGTCCCAGAATAAGGTGCCGGTGGAAGCACTTGCTTGGTAGTTGCGAAGTTGAGAGGGAAAAGTTTAAAAACAAAAATGAAGAACTTGGATCCCCCACATACACAAACCTACGGGTACACGTTTTCTGTTGGTTTCTTCACAGAGGGAACAAGCGGCCACGATTGCCCGAAACAAGAGGTTCTCTTATGGAAGCGGTGGCGCGTTCTGTAACGGGTCAAGTCGGCAACATCAGCCCAATATTCCTTCTACCTCAGTCAGGCAGAGTGTGGCGAACTGGTTGACCAATGGGGTGATGTCGGCGAAAAGCGAGGCCTGCCGAGAAAGAACAGGAGACAGAACAAGGGCAGCGTGGCGAGGAGGAAGGAGAGGGTCGACTACATGTACTACTACTGCTGTGTCACAGCCGCATGTGTCCGCGACCACATAGGCGAGTATCTCGAGTCAACCATGTTCTCAGTGGTATGTACCTGTGCAACCGCTCTACTGTACAACAGTACGGTCCCAGAGAAGGGTCGCTACAGGGAGACACACAGAGAAGGGGGGGGGGGCTATTTTGGCGCTCAGGTTTGTGAGGACACGGCCAGCACCCGGCCTAGCCGTACGTATTGACCGTGCCGCATTCCACAAGCTACAAAACATACCCGTATCCCGTTCAGTGGAGGTCCCTGTTTAGTGCCGGTATGTGCCCAGCACATTTACCGGCACTATTCAATTCAAAGTGCTGAGAATGGCTTGGAAATTCACTGTGTGCCCGCCGAAAACACTATACCAGCACCATACCGGGCACCGGCACTATACCGGGCACCGGCACTTACCGGGCACCGGCACTAAAACAGAGACTTCGACTGTACTACGTATTGTCCTCTGGCGACTGGTGGTAGTTTGTTCTGCAGTTCCACGAATGACTGTATGCAAGCTTTGCCCCCCTCGTGAAAACAAAAAAAAACGCTGAAAACCCGCACCGTACCGTGTTACTGTCGTTGTTCTGCCTAAGCAGAGCGGCGATCACCACCACTGTTGTGACCGCGTAGGCGGTGACAACCGCAATGGTGCACGTTATGTTTTTGATGACCACCCTCCGGTAGATGGCCTCTCCAGACTGGGAGCCTTCAAGGCGCACCAGGAGGGGCCGCACGAACAGGATCAGAAGCAGCACGAACTGTACATCAATCAAGGGAAAGAAAAGGCGTCGGCACCACGCATGCATCGGGTAAGTAGCGATGCGTCAGTTGAGACTTCAAACGGGCACCGGGAAGGGCTCAAACCGGTCGCCCCGGTGGCCTAGTGGGTACCCTCGCCGCCTGCTAAGGGCCAGGTGATGGGTTCGAGTCCCGTTAGAGTGAGTTGTTTTTCTCACTAAATAAATACTGGTCTAAGTTGGAAGCGACGCGCTGCAAAGCTCGTTGTAAGTAAAAAACTAGATCGACTTCAGAAGGCGCGAGGGAAGGGATTGCTGTACCCTTCTCGCGATAAAACGTCTCAGACAGGAACCGCAGGAGGGGTCTACCCCCTCCTATGTGACCCCGATTGGGTTGTCTAGCTAGTAGAAGTGGAGGATGGGGGCCACAGCGGCAGTCGACAGCGTCCAATGATGGGAGAAGCAAAAAAAAAGACTTTCAGCTTCTCCTGGTAGTTGTGGAGACGGCATTAGTCGGGGGCGGGGGGGGGGGGGGGGGGAATACTCCTGTAACGCATGTCGTAGCCGTTGACCACCCCTTCAAAGGTGGGAAGGGCTGATATGTCAAACTCCGGTTGCGAATGCAACATTCACAACCGTTAAAATGCGGGGGAAATGGGCTACTGTACAACGGAGTTGAGCTTGAGACGCATAAACCATCAGCACCAGCATCACGCACGATATGTACAAAGCAATAATTTCAGAAAAAGGGGAGTCGGGAGAGAAAATAGAACAGGGATATCTCTAAACGGAGACTCTCGTTCCCAAGATGATGAGGATATAATCAACATTGGATGCATGCAAAAATCACCAACGACACTTTGCGAACTCGGTTTCGACACTAGGGACGAGATGCTCCAAACCACACAATATATTGGGCAATTTTATTGAAACGTCATCAATTCTTAATCTGTTCGACATACATATATAGTCTATATGGCGGAGGATTTGCGGCATGGAGTGCTGCGAGCACGACTGGGAGGTACCTACTTCTTTACCTTTTACGAGAATGGGACGTGGAAGTAGGAAAACACCTATTATAATACCTGCCTGAATACACGACAACACGGCGAGCAGCCGTGTGACTACCACCTGAGATGCGAGGTGCCCCCGACATGGCCTACACCTTTAGCTCCCTGAAAAGGCAATGCCTCGTTCGCTTCCACTCCTACACGATCATGGACCAACAGGTCACAAGCAACCCGCATCTGCGCAACTCAGCAAGGAATATGACACGCCCGCTACTCCTCCACACTAAATATGTCACCAATTGGGCGAGGAATCTCGCGAGTGACGTCATAACTCTGCGACGGCCGGTGTTTTTTTCCCGTCGAAAACACGGATCCCTCCGACATCCAACCCATCCCTGTATACGTCCAGGTGTGGAATCGATGGCAATACTAACACTCTCGTCCGAAACGAGAAACAAAAAGAGAACACACCCGCCCCTCGCCGAAACCTGTGGAGCTGTTCACAGGAAAATGCTTTGTTTCGTGCATAGCACCAGCTGGCATCACTGCTTCAAAAATCCAGTGTATAGGCTCAAACAGACTCAGAATAAGCCCAGTATCACCTGTGTCTTTTTCCCCCTTCACTGTAAAGACTTGAACCCTTCTCCTTCGACCGTGGTAATATCTCGAACGGGCAATACCATAGGTTGCAAAAGATGTAACATCCTCTGCACCGCTTGTAACAGCTCCATTACTCGGTATGAGAAGCAGTGACGGTGCCGACAATGGCGACGTTGGAATTTTCTCGTCGAGATATTTCCGAAAACGTATCATTTGATTTCGGCATCCTCTTCGTCGTGGAGTAATCAAGCTTTGAAACCCGGTGCACGGGGTTTGGTATCTTTCATCATGTAACCTAAGGTTGGTCTCTCTTGGTTGTATGGTTGGGCCATTAGAAGGTACCATGCGGAGACCGGTTTCTAATGTGAAGACAACAACAATGTACGACTGTACATTATACAGATTTGTAAACAAGATA